CGCGCTCGGCGCTGGCAGGGAAGGGCCGGCCCCGCGCGCCGGGAGGGAGCTTTTAAAGCGACACACACGCCTCCCAGGCCCGAGCGCGAGCGCCTAGCGGGGGTTGCGCCACCGAGGTGACAAGGAGATGTTCTGCGCTGGCAGGGCTAGAGGCGGACTAGCATGATCGGTCTCCGCTGACCTCGGGGCACGGAGAGACAGTGGGCTACAGACTTAGTTCCTTCCCACCGTTCTAGACTCCCCCATTGCCCCTCCCCCACTGCGGCGCACCCTACGCTTTCCTTTGAGCTAAATTTCCCGCATCCAGACCTCCTTCCCTCTACCTTACCATACCTCAAACTACCCCAGATATTAATTCAGAAAATGAAATATGGACAATCTTGACTGAGTACCTACGGTGTGCCAAGCTCTGGGCTGGGAGCGGCTGGGAGTCGAAGGCTCCGCAGATGACAGGTACGCGTAAGACACAGGTCACTTCGTTCAGTTATTCATCCACTTACTCAACGTTTATTCAGAACTTTTTGTGTACCAGGCCCCATGCTAGACTCTGGGGTCACAGGAAGGAAAAGCAGCATTTCAAGAAGCTCACAGCTCATTGAGGGACACTCCTGAGTAAATTGAGGGGTGGCAAAGGCAAGTTCTAGAAGCAATAAAAAGGGGCAATGGGGTGGGGGGACTGGTAAGCTCTCACAGGAGACAACCCTGAGCTGTATGGCAAAGGGAAGCAGGAGTTACCCAGGTGACTGTCACCGTGGGGGAGGTGGGGTTGAGTATTCCAGGCAGGAAGGAGGAGAGAACAGGTCTCAGAAGCAGAGTGAGAGTGAGTTTGAGCCAACTATGGAGTTTTAGAGATGCCATTTTGACAGCTCTGTGGAAAGTGGATTATAGGAAGACCAGACCCTGAAGAGACCCTAGGCTGGAGGCTGTGTTTAGAAGCTTAGATTTTATCCTGGACCAGAAGGGAACCTGGTCCTGTTTGCCATCCCAAGAGATCCTGCTGGGGCATTGTAGCTGGTGTACCTGAGGGCTAGGCCAAAGTGGAGATATCTGTTAAGAGGCTGTTAGAAGAATGGAAGGCCTGAAGCAGCAGCAAGGATGGAGAGAAGAGAATGCTTTGAGAAATAATTTAGGAGACTGTGGCAGGAGTTAGAGACTGGTTGAACTTTGAAAAGGAGGGAGAGTCCAGGATGTCCTGGCTTATAGCTTGAGACCCTGGGTAGATGGTTGAACCACCAGTTGAGATAGAAAACAGAGGGGGAAGAACAAGTCTAGGGTGAAGAGGAGTCCAATTTGGAACACATGGAGATATCCTGAAGAGAGTTGAGTATATGGATCTATGCCTGGGCTTGAGAGTTTTTTTTTTTTTTTTTTTTGAATCATCATTAGAGGGGATGAGATTGAACAGGAAGACTGTAGACTAGTAACAAAGGCAGTAGGTCCAGGCTAGAGGCTTAGGAAAGAGCACCTGAGTGAGATGGATAGGAGTGGTCAGGGAGGTGGGAAGAGAACCAGGAGAGTGGGGTGTCACGCAGGACCAGGAGAAGAGGGTTTGGAGGCAGAATGTGCTCAACAGTGTCAAAGGCTTCAGAGAGTAGCTGTGAGAGAAGGAATGGAAAGGGTCCATTGGCCTTGGTATATAGGAAGCCATTAGTGGTGTAGCAGGGGCAGGTTTTTTGGGTGGAGGGGAAGGTAGGCAGCTGGAACCAAATCATTAGACATTGAGGGCTGAATGGTTGGTGATGAATAGGAATTAGTGAATATAGGTGACATTGTCAAAAGTTTAAATGACAGGGTTGTAGAGATCTTAAACTAGAGGTAGATTAGGGTTCAAGGGAGATAGGGCTGATTGGTGGTTTGAAGCTGGCCCACGGGGACTTGAATTCCAGGGATAGTGACTGTTGTGCATCCATCACCACCATCCATCTCCAGAACTCTTTTCATCTTGAAAACCTGAAACTCTGTACCCATTAAACAATAACTGCCCATTCTCTCTCCCTGCCTCTGGCCCCTGGCAACCACCATTCTACTTAATGTGTCTGTGAATGTGACTACTCTACGTACCTCATATAAGTGGAATTATAAAGTCTCACTAATCACTTTTCAGGAAGCTGTTGTGCTAAGGGATAGCTAAGATCAAAATAGGCTGAATCTGAAGAAATAAAATGAACTATCCGCCCATGTCCAGTGTGGGTTTGAACTGGGAGTGTAGGGAGACAATGAACTCAGTTTCAGAAGGTGGGATATGACTACTTTAAGAGGATAGGATATGACTGCTTAATACCTAATTGATCTTGGGTTTCATTAAAAGATGTAAGATGTTTTTTAAAAAGGGAGATGACATTACTTCTGTCACCTGTGTGGATCAAACTGCATCTAAACCTCAGTTCACTAGGTGTGTCCACAGGAGAGCAGCCAGTCTGGAGGAGGGGAGAGACTGGTGTATGTGTCCTGTGAAGAAGAGGGGCTTGTCAGGGCAGGCTGAAGAAGAGGAGTCTCAAAAGGGGTCTCTGATTGTAAACCTCCAAGGGCTGCTGCTACAGGTGAGAGGGGATAGATAGGTTCTGAGTGGTTCTGAAGCTTGCCTTCCTTAGTGTTTGGAAATGGACACATCCTTTCTTCCCCACAATCTCCCTGGCTACCTGCCCAGATGTCCCATCCTTCAGATTTCTGCTTAGATCCACTACCTGCCCCCCCCCCGCCCCCATCCCCGACAGCCTTCCTTGGTCCTTTAGTCTTTTGGTCCTTAACCAAGTGTTTACCAGGATGTTCATTCAATGTGCTAGCTATGTGACCTTGGGCAAGTCAAGTCACTTATCATCTCTGGGCAGGGATAAGGAGCCCATAAACATTTTAATTTTTTTCTGTACTAGCTGCCTTGACAAAAAGGCAAAAAAGAAAGATTGTTTTTTACTGTCTCTTTGACTCAGAAAAATAGAGATGACAGGACTATTTACTTTCTAGGGTCATTGTGAGCCTGGACTGAGATAATGAACGTGGAAGTACTTGGCCCAAAGCCTGACACTTGGTAGATGCTCTATAGATGGTAGCTGCTCTCAGGTCTTACTAATGGCTTCCTGTCTGTAAGCCTTATTTCCTTGTGAGGCTGTGAACTCCAAGGATGGTGTCTGTGTTGTGTCTGTCTCATCTCTCACCTGGACCAGTGGAGTGGAGCGTGACAGCTAGCGACTTTTACCATGGCCTGTTTTCTATCATTTCACTCCTGGCATCCCTTTCCTTTGGGAAATTCCTCCCTGTCATCACATAGACCCGATGGGTTGTTTGTTAAAGTCTTATTACTCTCACCCATGTCCACCCCATTGTCAGCAGGTAGGCATGTGACCCAAACTGCACCAATCATAGAAGCCCATCCTCCAGCACCAGTGATTGGCTGGAGGGGTGGGGACATTACCCAAGCAGAGTCAGAGGCTTTCCCTGGGATTGATATGTAGATGCCAGGAGGTGGAAGCCTCCTTCCTGCTGTGCACAAAGCTGGACTAAGCTATGGACAAGGCATATTTCCCACTAAATGTAGAAGCCAAGAAAGGCAATAGAGCAGGGAGGAATTTAGATAGCATGATGGCAGCATTGAGTCCTGATTTTGGCTCTCACACCTTGGTTCCTGCAGTCCTTCTTTTAGTCCTGGGAACTGCATCAACATCCTCTACCCATCTATGTGAGCCAATAAATTTCTTCATTACTCTAGCTGGTTTAGTGAATTTCTGTCTCATGCAACCAATGGGAGCCTTATGGATACACTCAGGGAATACTAAATGAACAGATGATCTATCGTATGATTGAACTTCTACATGGGGGAGGAGATGTTTAAAGATCCTGAAACTAGAGGGTCAGGAGCTGCTGCCCTGTGGCCACAGAGAGGAGAGTGGGTATTTGAGAGGTTATTGTATCAGACAGACCTGGATTTGGGTCCCAGTTCTTCCATTCACCAGCTGTGTGGTTTGGGGTAAATTACTTGCCCTCTCTAAATTTGAGGTTCCTTATCTGTAAAATAGACAAAATAATAGTGACTGCCTTGAGGGTGGAATGAGATAAGGAACAAGATGCATCAAACATAGTGCCCAAGGTGAGGGTAGAGGAGGCAGGTCTGGAAAAATGGTAGCTGTTTTTATTAGCCTTCCGTCCATTCTGCCCAACTGTGCAGGACCAAGATAGGCATGCAGGTCAGGAGGGAACAAAGATTCAATCTGTAAGCTGAATTCTTGCAGAAGTGGGTCTTGGCACTGGAGAGGCACAGCCCGAGCCAGAGTGAGCACGTTCAGGCTTCAGAGACGATAGAGACATTAGACAAGCTAGCACTTAGGTGGTGGAGTTGGAAGGATCTGACTCATATGCCAGCTTTCCCACTAACCATCTGACTCACT